TGCAGTGCGGGGGGGGGTGTATCCTTCCAACTATCCATTTAAACAAGTTAAATTAGCTATAATCGCCCTCTTTTTCGTGAATGTTAACCGAGTGGATTTAAGTTTAATTGAATGGAAAAAGAGACAAACGACATAGGATGCAATTTTTCCTATTATAAAAGAGTACATTAATTTGGAAGAACGATCACATTCCTAAGAAAGGTGCTTTAATCTCACGAAATGTGTGACGTTAGTCTCTTTTAAAAGAGCCTTATGTTAAATGGTTGATTTTATAGATGTTTATTTATTTATTTATATCAAATGGCAGGCTTTATGATATTTATCATTAGCCCTTTAGTTGACTTCAGGCTTCACAGAGAGGAAGGAACATCAAAGTGAAAAAATGTGGAGAGGTGGGGGGGGGGAGAGAAGAGAAGTGTTTCAAAGGTGTAAAAGAGACAGGTACGAAGGTAGAAAAAAGGTGAGGTGAGTACTGCGGAAGTAGTCAACATACAGTGGGGGTGATGGTAGTTTGAAGTCCGAAGTCAACTCCCGGTTAATAGACTTTTTGCCGTATGAGTATGCGTTGTCCAGGATGCCCACCCCTTGCCTTGATCCTAATGTGGAATTAAAGTGCTGCCTTCTTGATATTTTTGAGAGAGCTCAGCTGTATCTGGGAGTAAGTTCAAACGGGAGGATTAGGGGAAGGGAGAGAGTGGGGGCGGGGCGGGGCAAAGGGTCGTTTAGGATCAGTCAATGCCTACGCTGGCAGCACCCGCTACACACTTTATAGAATGATATCATGAGCAAGACAAGTGAGTGGTGCCACTTGCCAACCGATTGTTGAGCTACAAGGGAGCTTGAGGATATAAGCAAAATTCTCGCTTAAATGCATTTATATTTGCTTCAACCGAAATGGTGAATTAAAATAAAGACGTTAAAATTAAGGGGTTATAAGAAAATGTTACTATTTAAATTATAATCACACCAAGTACTGATATATGCTTTGAAAGTATTTTTAAAAGCATACGAGACACAGTCTACAGTAATCCGAAGAAGTAATGTCAATTGTAATTTGAATGAATCGCTTCCAAAGCCGGATAAATTTTTTTAAAAAGCGCTAGTAAAATTATGTAAGCGATGAACATCAGGCTAAAAATTCCCATCTCTTTGTCTGCTACAACTGCAACAAAAAACACTCAACACCTACCATAGATTTCTAATTCATGCTGGTCAATATCACAAAAGCGTTGTGGGTGCTGATCCAAAAGTTCAAAGTGAAAATGACCCTATTGCGGTTGAGATCGACATTAGTATCTACGCTTGCGATGGTTGGGCTAAATCTTTTTTCAATGGACATGGCTTCTTAATTCACAGAGGACAGGCAGATCACTGGAACACTCCCTCCGGAAAGTCAACTAAAAAAGGTTGCTCGTGAGAACGGTTTCACGAAAGTTGTCGATCTTGATTATGAGCCCCCCAAAGGTTAATGGCCAAATTGTAATCATCACAAGTGGTGTTGTCCCTATAGAAAGTAATTAAACACTTGAGGTAAGTGAATCAACTCTAGCTGATGTTGATCGAGTCGAAAATAATGACGCTGTTCCAGAATCCAATATGCATGTGATGCGAAATAACTTCTTTCTCAAATGGAAATGGCCCTTAGCACTTGTGACATTCATCTGTTCCATGGTTAGACATCTAGCCTAGTTTTACAGGCTGCTAAAGCAATTCCATCGTTAGTAGTATGTATATTTTCCAAAACGCCGCAACACCCAGCAGTAGTTTTCCAATTTCGGAGACATGTTCTTATCATTAATCCTTGTGATGGATTCATATGAAAGCTTGAGATAAATTGATTAAAACAACCTAGAACGTGGAAAAATCCAAATTCGGCTTGAAAGTGTTGTGAAAGCACCACAAAAATAGAAGCACCATCAAAATTATTGTCTATGTGTCCAAGTTCGTATGCGCAGCACTGCTCTGAATAAACATATAAAACAAAAATTGGTCGCTGGTCGTGTGCAAGAAGAGGCCGGTGTGTCGTAGTGAGCATTTTTTCGAAAACGGCCTCAAAAACGGTGCCCACTAGAAATTTGAGTTTAAAATTTGTGTCAATTACGCGAATGAGGTGTCTAGTGAAATGTTCAGGATTAGTCGTCGCCCTTACCGCCATCGCTTTGGTCTTGGATGCATCCAACATTGATGAGTCATTGCATCCTTTTTTAGCCTCTTGGAAAGGCAGGTTCATCGAGGTGACTTGACTGACCCCCCAAAATATCAACGAACGGGCCATTAGGCTAAGTATCTTCTCGAAGTAACCAGAGTTCGAAGTACAGAAACGTGGTATCACACAAAGCATTATAATGAATATGTTACACCATGAAGACATTATTGTCTACCGTGAACTAACTACAGTGGAAGCAAGGCCAATGATGACAGGCAAATCTTTATCGATGGATTACAGATATCAACAAATTGCAGGCATTTAGTGAGGTAGTCAGGGCTAGTAAGCCAGAAGCTGTCTGAAGTTGGAGCAAAGGGGCTGCTGCTTGCTCAACCAATCAGGACCTAATGGAAGCACTAACGTGGAGTTAGGGTGAAGAGGAGTATAAGTGAGAGAAACAAGCAGCACCAGGTAAATTCAAGTTTAAGTGCAGCTGATTCAGCAATTGACTTCTTGGCCCAGCGTTTAATCAGGTCAGAAAGAGAGTCTTCGATGCTGTACTAGGACTTTGAGGTCAGGTTGAATCGCAGCCAAAATTGCAACGAAAGCATTCGTGGCAAAATGTAAAGTAAATTTGTAATTACTGGGGCTTCACTTGAAATCTCGTATCAAAAGTGGGTTCAGTAAAAGTCGATCGCTATTTTCAAGGCTCTACACATCTATGAACGCCTTCTTGAAAAGGACAAACAAACAATAAGCAAACAAATACCCGTTTCAGTCCCCTAATTTCCCTTAACGTCTATCCACCCGCTTCAAACGAATTACTTCTCCGTAAATATCACTGATTGCGTCTATTCCGATTTGCCTGCTGTGAGATTGATATTTTCTTAAGGCTCTCCCCATTTACCAATAGAAAGTCATAATCTTCGTCCACATTTCGTCACGCTCGATCTGATAATTGATTCAGCAAGCAATTTTACGATTACACTCATTAAATGAAGCTCCAATAGATGCCCACTTCCTCCTAAGTAGTTCCCAAAAGAAAGAAGAAATATTTGTTAGCAAACAAACCTGGGATGTTTTCAAATCAACATGTCGACACACAAGCATCAGTACACCCTTACACAATAGAACCAATCGGGCAGAAGAATGAGATAGAGGGAATAAGACATACATATATATATCTACCTCCCCACCACCTCAACACACAGTTGCTGTCGTCGGAGAAAAGTGAAATAAAAGAGAACCAAATCAGAGGGAGAGAGAGTGAGATAGTAAGAGTAAGGGACAGCAAGAAACAAAAGAAAAGATGAGTGTGCGTAATGACGGAAATATACAGTCATATATATATATATATATATATATATATATAGGAGGAGGAGGAAATAAAAGAGGGTGTGCAGTGAGAACACAAGGTGGAGTGTGAGGGAGGATCTGCGTGTACGTGTGAGTGCTTATCTAGGAAGAAGTGCGTCTACTAGGAGTGGCGAGGTCGTTTTCGTGAGGAAGAGGAGGTGGAGTTTGGGTTGGCGCCGTTGCAGCCGCCGAGGAGAGTACAGGGACATCGGAGGGGCATGTGTTGACAGGCGATGGCGCGAAAGCACTCGTTTAGGAGATGGGGACGATGACGTACAAGGCGGTCGTAGCCTTCCGACTCGCACACTTCCTGAGCGTGTCTATAATGGAAAGCAAAGAACACCGATAAATAGTACTCAAGGTAATGACCAAACAGCTGGTTTTACCACAATGGTTATTTAGTCTATTACATTGGTGGCGTGTAGAGAAAATATGACTCGAATTTACCACTTATACGTCGCAGAAACCTCATGTGGAGATAGTGATGAAAAGACGAATCAGATGAAACTGAACAGTCTCGAAGTTACACCAAGACCTCAAGAAACGACCAGGGGGAGAGTGAAAGAAAAAAGAATTGCTTGAACTGAAATAAGTTTACTTCAGTACCGAACGTATTATTTCCATAAAAATGGTATCTACACCGATAATACAACTACATAGAACAGACTATTGAGGGTACGCAACCTTGATAATTTAAAAAAAGTGGGCACAAGAGAGGTGTAACACTCACTAATCCTAACTGAAATTAACTTAAAGAGTTCGAAAACCCCGTTTTTACCGCCTCAACTTGCAGAGCAGAGTAAATATGAGAAAAGAAGAAAAGTCTGTGCATCGATTTGGCAGATGCCAATTAATAGGCAAAGCGGATGAGAAAGATGGGGGCAATTTTCAAGAAAGATTAAATAGAGAGGACTAACCATTTGCGTTTTCCATCCTCCTCTATAGCGATACTGTATTCAAGCAAATAAAGTAGCTTGAGAAAGTCATTCCTATTGAATGAATTCGCATATCTCTCGGTCGAAAGTTAGCAACTGTAGCATTAATTAACTATATTTAGCTAACTAACTAAGGTACTAATTATAGTATTAACTAACTATATGTAGCAATAATTATAGTACTAACTAACCATCGCTAGCATTCAGAGCAGCCGTGGAGTATATACTTAATGAGGATGTAACTCACCGACAGTCAAAAGACACTTTTATCATTAAATTTGGGACCTCAGTAACTGGTTAACTTGGCAAAGGTAATTTTAAGGCCACAGCGTCTCAATTGAGAAGTAAATGCACTGAGGAATGGAATTATTAGGTGATATTTAGTAATCAATGAAGGGGGAGACAGAGAATCGCGGGAGAATGGATTAAGGTTGAAGCACAAATAAGGACGGACGATGGGATATGAGGGAGGGAGGAAGGGAGGAAGAGGAGCTTCATGAGTTTAAAAGTTGAATATACACAGTCATTTTAAAACTGACTAAGTTCACCTGCAGATGAAACAGTCCTAGCTTAAAGAGCTTCATGAAAAAAAAATAGTTCTACAGCAAGTACGAAGGGGAGAAAGCTTACAGTTGCGCTGCTGGAAGTGTGATTTCACATAGGCTTATTTCAAATATCGAAGGTTGCTCAACGGAATGAAGCAAGAGCAAGTATTATTTAACGGTTAAAAAAAAGAACTTTAAAATGCGCAAAAATTAACCATAAAAAAAGTTCAAGGAACTCATTCTTTAAAATAGCCTAAATTGCGACATGCTTATCATCATTAAAGGAAGCTTAATCTGCTTAAATTGTTCAATTTGGCGGGAATATAGACGTCAGTAATTCTGAAAAATCATGTTTATAATATACATATATATAAGTACAAAAAAATTTAAAATGCCATATTAAAGGAAACATCTTCCAGTTAGTATTTCTTTTCATTAGGCAAAGACGGAAAGATGACGGAAAGGTGGGTGAGTGGAGGAAGGAGAAAAATGGTGCAATTTTACTATTTTACAACCGCGTTTACGCTGTTCCGATTTGGCGACAATCTGGTGGGCGAAATCAATGAATGAAGAATAATGAGTGATCAACTTGACGTGACAGCAAAACAAGTGTATACTCCGCTATACCCAAGAGGTCATAGATTCGATTGTCACCAAACAGTATTATTATAATGAAATGAGCTCGCTTTGCATTCAATATGCATGTGCGCATAGGTATGAAGTGGTAAATCAATTAGTTACAAAATTCCAATTGAAATCTTCAGTCTTTCACTAACAGACTGGCGACTCTGGAACTATTCACCCTTCTGACTAAAACAGCTCCTATCAAAAAAGCTCCTTTAAAAAATTAACTGTAAAATAATAGGCTTAATAGCTTGGCCCACCTAACGATGGAACAGAATCTAAAAAAAACCAGAATGTCTCAGCTTAAAAGCACAAACTAGATGCGAATGCAATTCAATAAATTGAATGGATATAAAAGTTAACTCGAGAAAGGCTCAAATAAGACAAATAAGAAAACAAAGCAATTAGTTTGAACGAGAGATTAAATCAAACTACAACTACCCTAACCCATAGTGATTTAAGCGATAGCTCCAATTAAAATGGAAGCAAAAATTCTAGCCATTTACCTAAGACACGGTTTCGGTATTTTCGTCCGAACGATCATTATGCCTAGAGAAGAAAAATATGATCTCAGCTTCTACGAAAATTTATTTCAAATGGCGGGCTTCATGACACTTATCATTAGCCCATTAGCCGACTTCGGGCTTCACAGAGGGGAGGAACGTCAAAGTCACAAAAAGTGGAGAGGGGGAACAGAAGAGTGATTCACAGGCACAATGGTAGATAAAAAGGTAAGATGAGTACTGTGAAAGCCATAGCAATTTGAAGTCAGAAATCAATTGCCGGTTAATGAACCACGGTGCACCACGTGGGTGGAAGTCTATCGCACACGCAGCTTCTACGAAAATAAGGCTAAGTGTGGGGAGCTTTACATTCAACTGGAATTAATAACGCTCCTTATTTAAGCACTAGGCTAAATAGGAAATAGACTGTGTATGTAGTCGCGACCAACTCAGCCTGATGAAAACTACTTGTCGGAAAGCTGCGCCAAATATATAGGATAGGTGGAGAGAGAGAGAGAATTCACAGAAAACACAAGAATATCGATTTCTGAATCATTACTCCCTTCCACGGGAAAGCAGACAAATCATATGCAATGCAATCTATTTTTTTCCTAATAATAGCTCCTAGCTGTCTGTGAGCAAAAGCAGTCTAACAAAAGCATAGAAATGGTAGTGCTAGGGCAAATAGCGATAGGACAGAAACATGAATTCAAATTATAAACCTCCAAGCAGACAATGCTGTTATCATTATCATTATTATTATTGAGTTTTGCCAATTTCTCTATGGGCTTTAACCACAATTGGAAATAAGTAGATAGCTGAGAAAGAACTCCTATTTTCCCAGACAATAAGAGGAAACGTTTTAGGAGAACGGTAAAAATTGGTGGAAAAAGGAACCCAAGTGTTCGTAAATATGACTGGAAGGAGGAATATTTGGAGCCAGAAATGCCATTAATCATACGCATGTTACAAGAATAAGAAAGTATTAATAATTTTTCTTAATATTTTGTAAAGAACAATTGTCCAAAATACCCTGATCTTTGTGATTTCAATGAATTCGGCTTTTGCGCTCAACAGCAATACAACTGACTTCTACCCGAACAATTTATCAGAGAAGTAGGATTAGAATTTCAATACCTGCTATAACTTGTTGAAATGGCAATCTCACAAATGGGCGACCACGCCATAATTTACCTACACTTTTTATCACTAATGCAGACATGGATTGAAATGACCTTTTCAAAACGCCATTTATGGCTGATGCCAAGGCTGAATGGTTAGCCCCCCCCCCCCCCAATTCACACCCAGATGGTGGTACACATACTTGCCGGCGGCACCAAAACCGGCCAAGACACCTTCAGTGAATGAGAAGAAAGATCAACCGATGCAAACCAAACTGTGGCCACCATAGAGGTAGTGCATCAGATAAAATTTCCGAAATCAAACAAAAAACATGAGAAAACTCGCCAGTTTGGACTGATTTACACACACGACACGGCATTTAAATGTGCTGAAAACACGCACACACGAATTTTAAGAAACTGGGCAAAATTTATGGTTCACTAAAACGAATTCTCAACACCTTCTACAATCTCTAATTTGGACTCAGCTTTAATAAACGAAATCTATTTCCAAAAGGTCTATACTCTATTAACGATATTACTCTACTATTGCCAGGACTAATTGTCCTCAACTCATATCGATGTAGGAAGTGATGGCAACCAAGAATGATGAAGAGCGTGGTGTATTGATAGTTAGCTCCACTTGTGTCTATGTATCAGTTGTTTTAACAAAAATAGCAACGAGCTTCATTCATGTCAAGGTTGCACTGAGAATATTAATCGGATAAAAACGAGGCTTGGCTTACAAATGCAAATAGGTTGAAGAGGAATCTGTGAGAACTTACATAAAAAACAATTTTATCATGATATTATTTTTTTCCCAGCTTTGGCGTGAAAATTTAGTTCTGAAGTAAATATGGTTGAAAGCATTTGGAATATTTACAAGAAAGTTTAGACCGAATAACGCAAAACAAATGGAGGCTTGCATAACAAATTTCTTAATAAATTTAAGTATCCTCCTCTTAGGTACACAGCGCCAACAAACTCAGATAACGCGCAGGCAAGTGTGGACTCACAGCATGATAAAGTCAAGGGCATGGGTTTTGAGTTGTTCAGCGGAGTGAATGTCAGCTAGGGAGAGGATATCACATGCTGAATCCACCGTCAAATGGTACACCAATTCCTCCTCGCACATGGCCTTTAACCGCTCCAGTTGGTACTACAGGTGAAGAAAAAAAAGATGGGAAATTAGATACCATACATCGGGACAAGTGACATTTAAGCACAAAGACTTCTATGTGCAGGAAATACTTATTCATATTTGATTTCGATCTGCTTAGAAAGGCTTGTGTATGCGCGCACTAGCAATAGCCTCTGACCCAATCTACAAAGTTGAAGGCCACGTGCTCAGCAAGCAGAGAGATCACAACCGCACAGATCAAGTCTGAATAATAATAATAATAAATAGCCACTCATTTGTCTGTTAAATAATAAAAAAGCAGTACAAAAGTGCATAAGGTATATAAAGTACACTCTCCTATCAAGTACAGTGAGTTTGTACTTCCTCATTGGGATAAATACACATTAGCTATCATAAAAAAATCCCCTACCTCTCCCACCCCCACCACCACCCCCCCATTCATTCGGTTACGCGACTGCATTTACCGCGAGATTAGAGTGAAAGGAACTTCATATAGCGGCATAAATAAATGAAACGTTAATAGCAATGACTACACATGTGCATGGATTAAATGAAACACAAAAGCCAACTCCCAGTGCTTAAGAAATTAGCAAAGGTCAACAAGATGAAAGGGTCACAATGATAAACATTACTCCATGGGCTCGAGAACGCATGCAACCGTCTCAAGCCTGCACTTTTAAGGTCTGCCCCTTTGACCTTTAATTATAGTTCACTCAACAATGCTTTCTTCGCAATTTCCACTGCGTATTAGCTTGATCTCAATTTACTGTTGCAGCATTAAATCCTGTGACCTGATAAAGCGTTGGATAGAACAATTATTTATTAATAGCATGCCAAATGCTATTTGAAATATGTGAAATAATAAATGTGCTAACAGGTCGGTATCTAATTGTATAATCTTGCCGTGTTCAAAAGTCAAACCTCGAGCTCTGGATACCTCGAGAATACTCATAACCTGATGGTCCCTTCGTTAATATTGAGAGGGGTCAGTCAGGTCACCACGATAAATCTGCCTTTCCAAGAGGCTAAAAAAGGCTGTTATGACTCACCAATATTGAATGTTTCCTTATTTCGCATCCACAAGTCCTTTCGCCCAATCACACCGAATCACGTCGACTGAACACAACAACGTCTCTGAACAAGAACAGTTTAGAGCAACACCTAACTCATTGCAACACCACTGTTACAGTGTAGTGAGAGGGAGGTGTCCGGGAAATGCTGAATTGTGCATTAAAGTTCTTGATGAGCATATTTAACACCTCCTATGAATGATGACATGTTCACTCTGCTCCCATGCATCGTATTCTGCATCTAATATTTTCAAATGAAATTATGTTAATTTATCTGCATGTATTCAAGCAGGACATTCTCTAGTGTGGACCATCCGGTATATTTTGAGTTAGGCGGGTTTTGTGATGCCTCCCTAAGTCTGATGTTCTTCAAGGACACCAGAACATGACAACCTTACCCAAAATCAGAAGAACAATAGTTGAGCTGAACCAATGGTGCATGTCACGGTAGCGTACAAGGTGACCAAGTTGTGTAAGCAATGTGAAAATGAAAGCAAACTGATTTGATCTAGTTTAGTCCTCACACTGTGTCAGCTATCGGTCATCACATTGAAGAACTAGGTAAATGCGGCTCGATTTGGCAAAAACTAGGACAATCGAAAGTAAATGTCACTGCCAAGTGCGTCCTACAACAGAACCAACCCTACGCATTACAATGAGACTCTAGAAATCCAATGAATCGGATCTGACTAGACGAGAGGTAAAAAGAGCCAATGGTAGGGTTCAAATGTACAACCAACGCGAAAACAATACCGACAGACCTAATAAAAGGACTCCACAAGTTGGAGTCTCGCTCAATTTCGCTACAATAAATTGCAACGTTTCATGGTTAATATTATATTGGGGGGCGGGGGTGGGGGGCGAGGATGGGAGTGAGAGCACGCGACAGTGGCACGCACAACAAGAGTCGAACATATAAAAAAACCCAGACAGTAGTTATAAAAAAACGCAGAACGCTCAGAAGGAAATCGAGATGATACAACTCGATAAGGAACATAACTAAGCGTGCAGAGGAGAACAATCACCCGCCGAAAAAAAATAGTTCATGTATTAGGATATAATAATAATGCAATTTACAAATACACACAACTTTTATTGCAGTCATTTTATTTGTATATTCGGATAAAAGAGGCCTTCATTCATAGATTATCAAACTCAGTGTATCTTAATTTTGGTTTATTTCACTCAACACAAGGAGAAAAATAAGAAACAAGAAGTGTCCAATCCGATTGGCTAGAACTCAAAGAGTTTGAGGATTACTGAGCAAAAGAACTTTATTACACAAACCACAACCAAAGGTTCACTTTAGTATTTACAGAAAGATAATCTTGCCAGCCCTTCCTAGTGGCGCTTGTTATCCGTTTATATGTTCATATAAATGAAAAAAAAGTAATGAATAAAAACAAGTGCTTTTTTCATATTTAAGGTAATAATTTAAATTGATTACACCCTCAAAGAGTCATCAAATTGTGATCGCTTAGGAGTGCATATTTGTTGAAGTGACTAAGTCAAGGTATACCCTCGTTGGCCCATATTATGCAATATTAAAGCGAAAATCCATTACGCCAGTGGAAATAGAGCTGAGCAGATTTACGGAATTTTATAAATGATTAAATTAAGAAACACACATAAGATAATAAAATACAACACATCCCTCCAATGGGATGAAAAATTATTATAAACAACAATGCAAATAAGATTTCCTGCCTTTTACCTTATCTGCAGCCGCAAGTAATTCCTGTGCCGCCACCGGATTATCCAGACCGATAACTCGTCCAGTGTAAATAAATCTCAGCACCTCAGCTAGCGTGTCCGGTTCCACATCTGTGATGTAGACTTTATTCGCTCTCGACTCCGCCATTCCGTGTTCAAACATCGCAGCAAACACAGGACTTCTTGCAGCCAGAATGGCCTTGTGCGCTTTGAACCGTCTCAGCTCAAATGCCTCAGCGGTATTAGTGTCTGTGGGAGTAGGGGTGTTTGATCTACGATGGTTTTGGTGGTGGGTGGAGGTAGATGTAGAAGATTTGGAAGTGGCGGAGAGGGAAGTGGAAGGACAAGCTGTAGACGAGGTTGTGCTGCCAACGACTCCAGCCGCAACGGAGGAGGACGAGGCGGTAGAGAGTTGGATGGCTGCTGTAGTGGATACCAGACTTGAATTCGAAACTCCCGAAACTTGGGGTGCCTGGCGAGTCTGTGTGTTGGAATCTAAGGGGCAAAATTACGTATAAAGACTGTGAATGTCACCATTTCGTGCGTCAAAATGGAAGCAAGTTTTTGAAGGTATTGAAGATCAGGACTTATTATTTTTTTAGAAATACGTGATACCGTAAAGGCAAGCAGGATGCGTAATTCTCATAAATGATTATCGCAAAAATAGTTACCAATTCGCTGAAACTCTAAATCTTAAGAGGCAATAATATAAGAACGATTTTAGTGGTGACTTGAAGCTGCTGCCCATCTATCTCACCTCCCCACCTCTCTCTCTGGCTCTGAGTTTACGGTAGAACAGTGATATTATTGAAGCGGAAACTTGCTAAGTCGAGAATCCAACCTCGTAAACCTCCACAAATTTTCAACCAATCGCCTTGGAAACTAACTCCAAACTTCTCAAATGTAGCCTATTAATATGCAGTGGGAATCTAGACCATGACAGCAGAAACTGGGGCCTTAGAAATACAGCAAAGGACCATTCAGTTCGGTATAGATATGCTTCGTATCATTCAAACAATAGCATTTCAAAAAGCAAGGCCCACCTTCATTATAAATAAACCCTTCTTCCGACTGGCATTGAGTCTGTACAGCAGAGGAAGACGACGCAGCTTGCATTTGTTTTTGGTGCTGATCACCTGACGCACCAACGAATGAGTAGGAAATAGTCTGTTGAGGGGGGACTTTTCTAACCGCTTCGTTCCCTTCCGTGGGACAATTGGGAATATCCGATGAGACGCTCTCCTCATTCTCCCCATCATTAAAAGTTTGAACGCTTTCGAGGGAGTTTTCATCCTCCGAAACAATAGTCGAATCTCTCGAGGACGGAACAGTAGAATCTTCGGGATTTCCAGCATTAGCATCTTCTGGAGCAACTTCGGAATCTTTGCAACCAGTGATAGTATCATCGGCTGTGAGAATATCATCACTCTTGACATCTGTTAGTGATTGAGGCAGTGAGGAGGGCGCTTGGTAATTATCGACAGTCGGGTAGGCTGGAGTAGGGGGAGAAGACAGTACCACCAAGGTCACGTCGGTAAGGGTCTGTTTGAGCAGAAGGGAACCGATGTCTTCGTGCAGACGACACTCTGGCACGGCGATTTGCTGATTGTTGATTTGACCACTATCAGAGAGGGTGTCACCAACAACAGAGATCTGTAAGGGAAGTAAACAAACATGAAAATTACACACACATGGCATAAAAAAGGATAGATTGAGATCAACACAACTCCAACGAATTTTCGGGGGCGCATTTATTCTCTAGAAGGATGAATAATTTCTAAAATAATGAAAAAGCCTGTGCAGATTTGTCGAATGGTCAAGAAGTTGAAAAAAATGGTCTGCTAAAAGAAAACTAAGTATTCGTTAGTAAACTGCGAGTAATTGAACCATAATCTCTGAGAGAAGGTTGAATAATAAAATGACAACAATGAACCCAGATATCCGACATCGTTCACTCACGTATTCTTGGTAAGAGGAGAAAGAAGATAAATAATTTGCAAACATAAGCATCGCACCACACCAAAGTCCAACAAAAACCAGGCACAACCTGTTTGCGGTCCACTCCTGTACCCCCCCCCCCCCCCCCCACTCATTTTGTGTACAGATACACGGTAAGCGAAAATCCTACATCAACACTTTAAGGCACTTTCTGCACACATAGTGGAGACTAAGGTAAATGTGCATTGACAGTTTACTGTAGAAGTAGGTTTTTAACATGCACTTTTAAGGCATACGGTTAAGTGAGAACGAAGAGGAACCCGTACATATAATTGTCTGAAGCACTAAAAGCCATAGAACATAATTAAGAAAAAAACGACCATGACCAATCACGAAACCAAATCAACCGGTCAGTGTGAGCTCAGAGACTACAGCGTGAATAAAATCACTCACAAGAGCACGAGGCCGAATCATTGCATTGTGTGGCATCGTAAGCAGTACATACTTAGAAAAATACAAACAGTCCAATTTCAAACAAATCAAGTACCTCAATGCCATAACTACTCAGGACCCATACAAATTGTCTTACATTTTATTGAACCCATTCAAGTTCTCGCAACGTTTTGTTGCACCGATGCAGTCAAGAATAGTCATTGGCATATCTAGTTAGTCAAAGGAATAGGTACACGCTTCAAGAAATTTGAATCCAAAAGAAAATAAACTAAAAAAATCGCGGGTACACAAACGCAGAGAGAAACACAATCTCACCTCATTATATATCCCTATCTTTGAACGAACATAATTATCAATTAACACAAACGCGATTGGGACTGTATATAATCAAGAGAGAGAGTAGAGTGAATCACCTCACAAACTATTGTTAGACGATCATTGGGTAAAAGTCCACTGGCCTCATCCATAAGCACATCCCGACGAATGAACTTTTTGAAACCCCAATCTTTGCCCTGAACAAAACGATATGCCCTTTGACTCTCTAGAAAAAAAAGAAAGATGAAATAGGGAGAAGTAAGCACTATCATATGAAAAAGAGAGGCATAATGATCACAGATCACCTACCCATAGCCTTAGTCTCCTCGCGTTTAGCATTGAGAATGGAAAACTTGAACTTGGCCCTGGCCTCACTCTTTGATCCACAGTTGATGAGAAGAAGGTATAGTGAGAGGTATTCACGACTTTCTTCATCTAGACCCTTGGGATTAATGCGGAGGCACCTAGGGGGGGGGGGGGGGGGAAAGCAAAAGAGCAAACCATAAGTGACCAGGATGCAAGAGCATAAATTGTCAGCCCATTTCGTAGATGATTAAGCGGCCAGGTCAAATAGGGGAAGTAGAAAATTAAGTAAAAAAGTAGCAACGAAACGATGCCAAATAAAATTGGAAAGACGAGTTCACTTGGTCCATTCATCTCTGTGGTGCAAAAGGGGAGAAGCAATTCCAATAAATCAATGAAAAGTACACAATCCGAACTTGAAGAAATAAAAGATTTAGAAGTAACCTTCACTCCTCTTGATGTAAATGAATGTCTGGGCAAATCGCCTTCAGCCCTAGCATCGGTAAAATCCAGTGCATCACTGAGAGCCCTATGATGCAATTTCCAAACACCATTCTAATTTACAATTATTATTATTAGAAGAGTAAAACCTCAAATAATGTATGTAATGACACATCCCTACAACGTTAATTTCACAGATACAAAGTTACTATTTTAATTATAGTATCTGAGTTCATTAATCAAGTCATTTCACTAATGTAAACATGTTTAGGTTTTTAAGGCTCCTTTTAAGCTTACAGGCAATGCTTTACTAATCATGCATTTACACATGACTAACACCTGACTAAAAGAGCACAGGGAAAACAAAATTTAATTTCGTTTTTTTCATTGTCAAATTAAATTAAACTTTCCCCGTTATTCGGACAAAAGTGGATTTAATTCCGATTACACAAATGTCCGTGCTCCTATAGTAGAATCTACTAAAGCGTGAAGAAGAAGTAGATTTACTTCAACAAAAGCAAACGATAGTTGCTTTAAACATCCAAAAAATGACCTTGGTTATAATATGGCCTCCATAAAACGAAGCCTAGCGCAAAAAGTGACAGAGACAAAACTCCCATCACAATATCAGTAGAAATTCATAAATAGTGAGTAGAATAGATTTCCTTTTAGCGATCACGGGTTTTGATATAATTACGATTTATTAAAATTGAGACACTGAATAATTGAAGAATAGCAATCACATGATTTTCACTTATACCATTCACAAGAAAAAAAAATATTGAGGAAACATTTTGCAAATCAAACAGTGGCTGCACTAATTTCTTCCCTGGTAAATGCCAATCAAATATAGTAATGTTGCAACAATCGTTAAAGAATAAGACCTGAAATATTGAGTACTTCGATTAAGTTACCTCACCACTAAGATGAGGAATTCATTACTCAGAATAATGATAGTTTTAGTAGTACCTTCGAGAGAAGATCGAGGAAGAATCTCAATTACACGCTACCAATTACTAATTTACCTATGCATCGAATACATATAAGCATTGTGGGAAAATTGTCGCGTGGAAGGTAATAAACTTAATAACATTACTGGGACACGTAGCCTTTGCAAATAGATATGTAGGTATGACTGAAAAAACGAAGCGCTAAGAAAAATTAATTTGAGCTGAGCAATTAACGTTGTTCCCACTATATATGTAAAGGAGTATAAAAAAAATTTAATAAAACATCACAGGAGAGGAATATTGAGACAGGCATCGATCAATACCATAATACAACAATACAGTCAATCAATTTCAAACACTACATTGCTTGTCTAAGGTTAATTATTCTAGCCATGAATCAAAGAGACAGAGAATTAAATTCAGATTAAAAAAAATTAAACCTTGTGCCATAAACACATGACAACACAAAGTGATGTTCGGTTTTTCATAGTCATCTCAGCAGCCTTCCATTCGAACAATCTTATGGCTTTAAATGTATGAAAAAATTACTCGTACTTTCATACTACAAAGTTATATAGAGGAAACCAGATGATCAAATTCCACTTTAAAATGAGTAAAATGCGCAATTGGTGCCTCGAAACGAATATTAATGATTGTATTAATTAGATATGGTAAAAAGGACTGAGATCAGCCTATCTCGAGAAATGGTACCAGCAAAATGATAGACAAGTTAGTTATCCCCTAAACTAATTATCGATAATCTTTAAAACCCCACCAAATTCACCACCTAAACGCTGCCGAGAGAAATGTCTTATTTCAGAAAGTCATCTAGTTTATCTTATTCTTCTTTTACTCAAATCAGCTACTGAAGAATAAAAAAGCAAAAAAAATGGATTTCAATAACAGTTGAATCCGAACTTCAAACAAGTCGGAAAGCCGTTTCATTTCTAAAACGTAATTAGTATGCTCTCAACACCTGATTGAGTACAACAGCAAAAAATGCTAGTTTTAAGAGTATATTTTCTATAAAACGAAAGGAAATCAAATACCTCGTGTCAACAGAAATTGACCTTCAAATACTTAATCAAAAGGTGAACAAGCAAACCTTTCACTAGCCTAAAAGGCATTTTTATTTTTTGATAAATACGACTTACAAAGCACTTACAAGATAATATAGGTAATCATTATTCAATCATACTTAAGAGTGAACTTGTCATAATATTCCAATAAGAAAAGGAAAGCAAAATTAAGCTAGCAGTTATGGAGTCAGACCGTGCAGACCTAAATGTCCTAGAAGGCACAGTCACACTAGAACTACTTCAAAGTCCTTGCAGATAAAATGTGAGGTTGAATACTGTCCAGACGTGCCGCAGATTAATAACAAAGAACTAAGCACCAAACTATCACTTTTATCATAAGAACGGTAATAACAAAACGGTAACACAAAATAACAATAAAAAATGTAAAAAAAACTCTACAAATTACTAACGACAATTTCTCAATAAGCATATAGAACAAACAAATGAGAACGTACCATTTGAGTTTATCGTTAGGTCCCGAAGAGAAGACACTGCTCTTCACAACTTCGCCAAGCTCCTCTCGGCAAAACGAGAAGTTAGAAATAGTCCAAACATAGCGAAGTTTAGAGACGCGAACTTGAGTGTGGCACCAGTATTCGGCCACCACAGGTGGAGCGAATCCCTCGCCATTGGACGCGGAAGAGCCCTGCTGCTGTGTCTGTGTCTGGATTTGGGTTTGGTTTTGGTGAGGTGGTGGTGGTGGTGGCGGTGTAGTTGTCCGACTCACTGTAGCTACTTGAGCAGTCTGACCGGTATCCGTGGAATCAAGAGTAGCGAAACGTTGTGGATCCATACCTAACAAGGTAGAACGAAAAAAAGCTAACTAGCGAAATGACCAACCGAAAGGGTAATAGGAATGAACCATAAGCATTCATCCTGTGCATTAATGGAATCTACAAAAATGTATCCAATGGTAAGAATAGGATATCGATTAAATGGGATGAACTCGAGAAATCAAACAATACTGGTGACCACGAACATACATTATGCACATATGTTGAGATAAATAACGATGAGGAATGAAAGCTCAGAAAAGTGCGAAATAGGAAAAAAGGAGAAAATAGGATCTGAATTAAAAATATCGTTAATAAAAGATAAAAACTTTAAAAAAAATTATAAAACGGCATGAAGACTGAATAAAATGGGCATCAAAGCATATTTACCTTCTGGCGGAGAAAAATCATCACCATTAGAATTATGACCCGAATTAATTGAAAGAGGAGGATAAAAATTCATACCAACGATGGGAATTCTTATAAGTTCTTTAACTATATACAAATATGCTATGATAATAAATAATGCCACATCGGGCCAAGTAATTGATTGGTAAAAGAAAAACGTGAAGACCTTTTCAAGGAGAGAAGACAACATATTGAACGTGAGAAAATACAAGTCCCATTAACAAAGAGTAGATAATTTTAAACGTGAGATCATGAATTAAGATTTAAATTACCAATGTTCATTCTTGACTAAACATATAAAACATCTTAAACACAGGATAATAAATTGAACCGAAATCAAGCCTCAATGACCCAAATTAAATTCAATCTTAACAAATCAGTTATTAGGCCAGATAAGGGATTTTGAACTATATTCACTCACTATGCAACGTAGTAGTTATAGATCTCTAGAGAGAAAATTGTTGAGAAATTCATACAAGTATCGTACTAAAAATAATAATTTTGAAAAGGATCCAGAATAGCATATATTATTATGAGCAAACAGATTTCACTGAATAAATGCATAAGAATTCAAGATAGTTAACTTTAATCGCTAAAAATTAACTTCGAAAGAAAGTTCTTAATGTTTTATAAACAAACAAATGGCAAAACCCACCATCGACTATCGTAGACAATACTAAGCCCCGAATATTTAGCTCATTAAAAGCACAAATGTCTACAGTTGAAAAAAGAAACTGAAAACAATAAGTATGCATGAAAAAAGAAAGAATCTTTAAACACAATTAATAAAGTTTTAAAACTGCTGATATTACACTAAATACTTGATTTTAACGCATATAGTAATATCATACAATGTAAAATCTTACACCTATAAAGGTGGACATTTTATACTGTATCTAAAATATTTATCAGAGCAAGACACTGAAATTAAATGGCATTTATTTGTTGGTCAATGTAATCAAATTATTTTAAAGAAGGCAAAATAATTATGCATGAGCATGGACGAGCTCGCTTTCGTTTTAAAAAGACAGAACAAAAAACAGAAGTAAAATAAACTAATCTCTAAATGAACTAGATTCTTAGAAAGTGATTCATGAATGAAATTGAGTTTTGATCTCTATAGTCAAAATTTTCAAGCAGAAATCACGACCATCTGTCTCCAGCTTGAAAATAATTAGCTCTGAGAGAAAATTGATGGTACAAACCACTGTTGAAATCCATGAGTTTTAGCAGTGCTTGCTTATTATTTTCAGTATCATTAAAGACACGTTGAAACATAAATTATTCTTTTCCTATATCAAGGTAAAAAATTCTCAAATGAACAGCAAGAAAAAAACCTTCGTAAAACCGCTGCTTAGATTCCTACCCAAATCTTTCGGGTAACTGTATACTTTACAACAACTACTCCTCTAAATCAACTCAACAGCAACTTCATACCGCAGTGTCAGATATCTGCCTTAATATAGGAACGTTTGTGTTTACCTTTCAAGATTTGTTTCCGATTTAATTAACATTAATTTTAAAATTACATCGATTTATTCTGACCATAGAGTATGAGCCCGTTTGTGCAAATTTTGTTTAAAAGCGATTTGTGTCATAGTTTATCAAAATTTACATGAAATAAGGCCCTGCTATATACAAAATACGCATTAAATTTTAAATGATTTCATATATTCAAATAAAATAGATTTTAAGTAAAATTTTAACATTGTTATTTCTTATACAAATACTGAATAATTATTTTAAAATTATATTTATTATCACTTTTTAAATAAAAAAGTGATCGCTCACTTTGTTTATATACTCTACTCTTTAGTTTGACCAGATTGTGAATTTTTTTGAATTGCTACTCACTATACTAATTTTTGATACAGTTGGTCAATGATTATTGGTAATTATTAGCAATGGCCAATGAAACTCGCCATTACATTCAAAATCGCATTCTTGTCAGTGTTGATCTGTTTGGTCGTGATCGTCTAAATTTGACAGCTGAAAAGAATTGGACAATCTCAAATATATACACCGAAGTTTGTGATTATCTTGCGATTCCAGAATCCCGCTTGTTCGGCCTCGCTAAAAAGCTCGGTAATTGCATACTATTTTAAACTCTGTTAGATTACGGATTTGTGTTTTTGGATTCAGAAACTCGTCTCTCCGCCTTGGAAAAAAAGAGCCCGTCTAGACATATGGTATCTTATTAAACTACTTTAGTTAAATAATTTTATGACCTCCTGAACTTAAGTTTTACGGTTTTTAGGGTTTTTTTCTGCCCCATAATAGGAATAAATATTCCTTAAATAAAGCAACTGAACTTTCAGCGAATGGTGGTGCAGGTATAATTTTAATCCACCTTCGAGTTCGTTACTACATCCCTAATCACTGTCTTCGCGGAAGGGTTGTGCGTCACCTTTACTATGAGCAACTCCGATTAAATGTCTTGAATTATGGTCTTCTTTGCAGTGATGATATCTACTTCCAGTTGGCAGCATTTTCCATTAAATTGCATCTGCTCAATAGGCGTACTTCATTGTGCTACAAATCCAAACACAAATTTAATGCGGATAATATTAAACTGAGTGACCACTTTCCCCAATTTGTAAGTAAAATTTTTATTTGTTTTGATTCCTACTCGTTTACTAATTTCAACAAGCTTTTGGACTATTTATTTTGCATTACTTAAATTTTGTCAACAATTATGGTGCGATTTTTCTTTTAATTTGTCACTTTCACATATTTTTAAAGTTGTGAACATTTTCCATGTTTCTTTTATTATATAATTTAATTTGATTTGCGCTGTTTTATTTTTTAGATGATTGATAATTATGGAAGTGATTATCTCTACGACAATATTTCCAATCTCCTTGCACCTCTAAAGAGCCAATCTCGGGAATCAGTTGAATGGCGGTTCATCCGCCTGGCCTCTGAACCTTCTTCAAATTTCAATCTTCACCTCTATTGCGTTTCTCTCTCGAATCCTTCGCATGTGAATAACACTGTCTCCAACGCATCCCCGTCCTCCACATCCCTCCTCAGTTCCCCAGTTACTCGTATCAGGCGCTCATATAGTAGTCGTTCAAGTATCCTCAAAACCTCTGGAAAGGGAACATTCTGGCTGGGAATTGGTCCCAATGGGTTTGAGTTCCATGAGGCAAGTTAGATAACATAATTTCATTAATTTTCGTCATCTAATATGAGCCTACTTAGGTTCGTTGACTCAGTTTTTAATGTGCTTTTCTGCCCGATCAGAGCTTAAGCATTTGATGCTCATTTCGGAAATTGGAATGGGAGGAATGGTTAATAGCATTGTCATCGGGAGTTAGTTTTAATTTGTTAATCCTATATTTCATCTCATTTCCAGCTTTCGCTGATCCGACTGTTCTTGATTTGCACTTTCAAAGTGGGCTATTGTCAGTAGGTGCAAAGGTGTATTTCAGAGTTTTAAAGATAGCTGCTGTTGTGGGATTAAAGTTTATCAAATCAATGAACTAGAAATTGAAAACAATTCCTCCTTCTATCCTATTTGTGTTATATTCGTTGATTCGCATTCCTCCATTGCTTCTCCAAGCGTTTTGAAACAAAAATATTGTGAACTGTAAACTAAATTTCCGGTTAAATAATCTCATGGTTGATAGTTTATCGAGGGGGTGGGGGTAATTTTCGTTAATCCTGAACTTTTAATATAATTGTAGGGATCACCTCTTTTAAATTTAGAAAGTTTCTTCATTTTCGTTTGCTAATTTTCCGATTAAATGCAATGTTCATTTCGCGTCTTAGAGCTTTGGCTACGTGAGGACGATCACTTATTTCAAAATATTTTTAGTTATCCAAGGCTAAATGGTTTGATCTTTCGAACATTCTTTTATCAGAAATTGTATTCCAAATTTAGTAAATGGATAGCGAAAAAAGTAACTGATCAAGTTGTCTACTTTCACCAACCATGAGAGACACATCTGAGGCTGTTTGATATTCTAAACTCAAGCCTATCTTTATCTACCCTCTAAGTCTGCACTGAGAGTTGGCGAATAGAAAGTGTGTCAACCATTTGATATTACCTCGTTGACACAGATAGGATTTCTGTATGGCTTTAGCTACTTATAAAGACGAAGGGGAAGAAATTTACATTAAACGCCAATTTTTAGTAGGGGCATAAAAGTTCTTCCCTAGAGTTAGCCAAGAGCTGCAGTAATGTGCCTTCAGCAATGGTCTTACGTGTACAACTACTTTTGTATAAAATCAATAAGCCATTCTCCAATCCATGAAAGCGGGGGGGGGGGGGAGTTGTAAATATTCAAGTCGAGTTTCTGGAGGCATAATACTTAAACAATCATTTCATTTCAAATTTCGAGTGGATGCTGTCCAGCATTTTTTGGGGCTGCATCTAAGTTGCTATATTTCATTAGCATAATGGGTGATGTTAGGCGTTAAAATATTGGACACTTAAGCAGTAGATTTCCTTATGCATCTCTCAGTATGTCTTTCCTGTCAAAATCAATTATGATCTAAGCCTATTGCTATAGGGATTATGCTGCAAGACACGTCAAAACATAGCATCGTTCAGATACAATGGAATTTGAGCACTGAAATCGAGCACTCCTTCAATCTATTGGGAAGAATTGCAAATATTGTCTCTGAAGTACTGATCCTTTTATTTAACTTCCTTAATTTATGGGTGGTTTCGATCTCCTATTGCCTAAGATTTTTACCTCATTTTTTTATTCTTACTAATAATTCACATACTTCGCTTTATTCTGATTACTTTTGCTCTTAGCAAAATCAAAACTACCCTAATTTTATCTAATACTCTTTGCTTAAACGTTTGATTTAGTTTAAGCAAAGATCTGATCAGAAGATCGTATTTGTTACTATCCACAATCTTGAACCTCGATGAGTGGGGGGTGGGGGTGATAGTACTGAGCTACATTAATTATACGTCGAAGTCAGCAATATCCATGTAAATGTTTTAAAAAGAACTGTTCATTTTGGTCAGCCTCTGGAGAAGTGAATGCAACAGGTATTTCCAAAATTGCTTATGGATTTAAAATTCTGGTGGAAGCGAATTGAACACTCTTTAACTTAAAGATCAGTACAATCTGTCAACGGCCTTTTTTGGATTAATCTCAGAAGACCATCAGGACAACTAAACGAAATATATGAACTAGTTTTCGGTATTTTCAAAGCCATCAAAACTCAAATAGAATAGGATAATATATGAATGATAATATTATTAACAATCCAGAAATTGGATCAATTACAGTTTTCCGAGAGAGAGGTTAAGGCACTTCCTGGAAATTTTCTCCCTTATCAACGTAGAATGCTTGCATTCAAGCGATTAAATTAACTATTAACGCTGATTTTTCCGGCCTAATGTTTTTTTTAAAACGGATATTAAAAACATTTCGAAAGAGAAGTAAGTCTGCTGAAAATGTATTATTGTTTCTCAAAATGTGATGCCAAGGGAAAGCGTGAAAAAGAGATGGAAGACACTCTCTCTGCATCACAAAATCACGAGTCCGTGCTATGAGGTCATACGGACAAGTATGGTTATTTAAATGTGAGCGCTTTCACACACCATAAAGCCCCCCCCCCTCTCCTTATTTACTCAAATCATGACTTTTGTTTATTTCAGCTCTTCTTTTCATATGATGCAGAAAGTGAGCTCAAGTGATGGCGGTGTATTCGTTAGTATTGAAATTGAAAATAGCAGGCATTGTCTCAATTATGTTTAATAATCATCTATTGGTGATTTTTTTATTATTATTCATTTCAATTTGTTATCATAAGGCGGTATTTGAAAGGCGTATAACGAGGAGGGGGGGGGGGGGGGGGGGGGGTAAATACGGATTCAGGGCAAGGTCAGGATATAAATGGTTTCACTTTGTTGGAATTCTGGAAACACTGATTATTCCTTTATATTCACCATCTGGTGTATAATCCCCATTGCAATATATCCAAATTTCATACAGCTAGATTATTATTATTATTATTATGCTTCATTTTACTGAATTTCTTGCTGAGTTTATGTCCGCGATAATTGAATTCGCTAAAGAGCACCTTCAACCGATTGCTTAGTCATTGCACTTAAATTGAAATTGTGCCTTCTTGCAACCATAGGTGAGTAGGTAGGCATGACTAGTGGAGGAATCTTA